TGCTTAAACAACAGTAAATATTTAATGTTTTCCATTTTTTTGTAGCACACTTTTTTCACAAACGTATGAAATAAATGCATCTGTTTCAAAGATTGATATCTATGAATTACAGATGGTATCAATTCTGGAAGTTATCAATTAAGTTATATTAAAAATAAAATTGAAAAAATTTTTTAACTGAATTTTCAGTCATGAATTTTAGTTTTAATTAAGAATTTTCCGTCAGCAATTATAATTGGAACTTGTAAAAAACAAGATTAATTCAATATATTTAAATATATTCATCCAATATATTAAATATATGCAAATTTCAATATATATATGTATTTAAAACAAAAATTATTTAAAGTAAATTATGTAGCAAAACTGAATTTGAGTATATTGATCATGAACATGGATCAGAATTCAAATTTAAAATTGAAAAAAAAAATTTTCGCCTACAAATTTACCCCAGCAACTAGTTACTTCATATTACTGCATTTAATTTCTAAAATTACTTCATTACAGTAATAATTGATTTAAAAAAATAAGTGCAGATACAAAAATGTAATTAATTGCTTCAATTAGTGTGCATCTGCCTTTAAAAACACCGCCTCATTCACCTACAATTAAATATCACTTATCTTGCTGTTTTACTTTGACTATTTAAATAAATAAAAAATCAATCTAAGCAACGCGAATTCTAAATTCTTGCATCATATGTTAAAAGCTTTCATAGATCAGTTAAATTCTGCTTTTATATTAAACTTTAATAATAAGCATACATATGCATTTCAAATTTGAAATTACAGTTGAAGAATACCAAATTCAAGATAAAAGTAAATTAAAATGCATGTTACATTGAAGTCTTACTTATTTCGATATTGATACAAGTGCGTATCTATTGATTAAGCAATACACGCTTTTGATGTGACTATTACTCACTCTTTCAATTTGGAAAAAGTATTTTTATAAAGCTACAGTTTTAAGTTATAATTCTGTAGTTGTTTAAATGAAGACTGAATTTAAATTTTAATTAATAATACATTATTAGGAATTAATATTTTAATTTAAACAATTACAAAAATATATTTTTTGGTTTTCAATTAATTAAATATGCTGCATATTATTTCAATTGACTAAAAAATATAATTTAATATTCTGTATTTTTTAATTTTAGTTTCTAATATCTATATGAATTTATCAACCAAAGTAAAAAAATAAGTATGTGTAGTACTATATATGTATGCGATCAAAACTCTAGTAGTTATTTATTTTCTAAGTATATTTCCTTTCAATTTATAGTAATTTTTACATTAAATCTAATGTAAATTCTCAAAAAAATGAAAATTAAATGCACAAACAAACAAATAAAACAGCATATCTCAAAATATCTTGCATCTAAAAAATCTTATTTTGCATTCTCAAATGCGATGTTACAAAAATGACGATAAATATGGTGGAAAAAGAAAATAAAACATTAGTTTCATGAAGATAGAATTTCTAGTGATAAAATACGTTTAAAGGAAATAAGGATAAAATAAAGCAATAAATCTATAATCTTTAAATTTAAATCGCAAAATAAAAATATTGTTTTATTTTATTATATTTGTCTACAATATTTATTTGTTGTCAAACATTGAAATATTCTTTGATAAATTAAAAATAAAGCAACCAAATTTATTTTGATTCAACAAAGCATTGAAATTTTTAAAATCATTTATTTCGCATTGCCATATTTATGTTAAGAATAAAAGGAAAAAGGATTTTTCAGTTGCAGTTTGATACTTTCGATCTTGAATTTAAAAAATAAAAATTTTTAATATCTCCAGTAAATATATTTTCTTTTAAATAAATACTCATAAATCTAGCCGGTATTAAATATTTATTCATTTTAAACATTAAAATTAAATCATAAATATATTATTTGTATGCATTGAATTAGTACTGTTCTAAGGAAAATGAAACTGTTTTAAATATAATTCTCACTTAATCATTATTTGAATTAAAGAAATATATAAGTTCAACTTTCATTATTTTATATTATGCAACTTTATTAAAATAGATATCTATTAAGAAAGATACTTGAATATTTCTGCTTTCATAAAACTAAAGTAAATGCGCTTTAGCATTATAATGCTATTAGCTTGAACGAATGCACTTAGTATGAGAATTATTAGTCAATATAATTATTAATCATTAAACGTAAACTAACAATAAATGAACTGAATTTTAATTTTAAACTGAATATTTCATAGCAGAAAATAGTCTCTTTAACGTTANCTTCAAAATTTATTATTAAAATTTTTTTTCTTTCTTTAGATAGATAGATAGATAGATATAGATAGATATAGATATATAAATTTATTAAAATCGTGATTTATTATGCAATTTATGCATGGTAATTATTATACATTTATTAATTCTCAAGACGTAATATAAATAAAGTTTGCATAAACCTACTTCATAAAATAAGAGCTTTATTTATTGCATCAGTTGTAAGCAGTCAAGAAATATTTTACAGGTCGGATACTTTTTTAGTCTATAAATATAAAAAGGTGTTGAACATTAAACATGTTTTAGAACCTTTTTATTACAAGGTTCTGAAGATGAAAATAAATTTCAATAGGAATTGAGTGCGTGATTTTTAAAATTTGTTATGTAAATGAAAGAATTGAATTAAAGCTGTTAAGTCTGAAGGCAGTTAGAATGAGCTTCTCATAAATGAGTTTTAAGATATCTTTTAAATAGGCTAGATAATTGAAATTTTGCATCGTAAGTAATTAAGTATATGCATATCTATTCCCACCTCAAAGATTTCAGGAATTGGTGATATCTGTCTTGTCACCATTAAAAAAAATAATTAAAGCAGGATAATTTAAGTAAGTGAATTTTTGAATAAATTGTATTACTGTTGAATTAACAAAACTATTTAATCTACTATATAGGTATTAAAACTTGTTTATGTATAAATAATAAAATACTAATTTGGTGAAACATACGCATTAGGAAAATGTAGGATTTAAAAACTTAAACTCTATAAAATATCCAGTTCATAAATTGTAGAATTGTTAATAGAAAAAACTGTGTCATATGTGACACAATTTGTTAAACATAAAACAAAATGTCTTCACTCATATAACATAGTCAAAAAGATTCTTTTCCATAATAAATTTTCAAAAACTGTACTACATTAGATAACAGTGTAAAATTTAAATGATTAAATTTGTTTTATAAAGTTTTAATTACGTTAATATAGTCAAGGTTTTATTTCAATTTTATTTAATAATATTATAATAAACTGAATAATTAATGATGTTGAAGATTGATTTGTTAAAAATCAATCAAATATATATTTTCCAGGTATTTAGTAGATTAAGATTTTAGTAAGTAAGATTTTTTATTATTTTGTTAAAAAGCGTATAAAATTCACTTTTATTTCAATTTTGTTTTCTTTATAAGCTCTGAAAAATTTGAGTAGTTGGTGTTAAGAGCTTATAAAGACAACAAAAACCTCTTTAAGCTGTTTAAATTATACTATTAGTTTTTGTGCTTTAACTAATGTTACAAGTAATTAAGGGTTCCAGTAATTAGAACCCGCAGCTCTGACACTGCTGTGACTAGTATTCAAGTTTAAAAACTTGTTTAAAAAATGTAACGGTTAAAAAATATGCCTCAGTTATCATTTTTGTAGTAAATAATTTTTTATCAAGTATATTTTAAAAGTAATTAACTAATCCTTTAAAAATAATATTTTTTTTATCTTATTTTCATCATTAATTTAACTTTTGTTATTTAGAAATAATTGAGTATCAATTAAATGAGAACTAATTAATTAAGTAAAATATAAATAAGTAGATTATAATTTTTTTTATTTCAGGGATGAGTAATTTATTCTGTTGCATAATATTAAAACATCGTTTTATTTCTTGAAATATCTTGTCATTTTACTAACTATCACAATATGCAGCTTATTTTACGCAAAACCAAAAATCTAATATCATGCATGTCGATTTTTCTATTACTGTGTGTCAGTTTTACATTTTAAACTTAATTAATACATAACCTAAAACTTAATTTAAACTAAAGTTCAAAATCTCTTAGTATATTTCTTAAAACTACTTTTAAATCTCTTTAATGAGATGCAAGATAAATCAATTACGCAAAAAGTTATTTCATTTTCCATAATTCATATTCTAAAGAATTGTTATCATAATTTAATTAACAGTTTTTTTTTCGAGGGAAAATAAAAAGAGTGATCATAAGAAATTGGTTCATGAATATTCTCATGATTGTTAAAAAAATGTCTTTGTAAAATTACCTTCAAAATTCATTTGAATTAACACACTTTTTTCTCACTAAGAAATTAAATATCCTAATATAAACTTATTTTTTTAATTTACAAACATGTTTTAAAAAAGATTTAAAAGATTTTTTTGAAATAATATGATAGGAAAAATTCAAAATTAACGGAAGCGCTTTTCATTGTTTTTCTTTGATATTTCTTTAAGTCAAAAAAGAATAAAAAATTAATGTAAAAACTTATTTTGTGAAGTTTAAGTTTTAATATTTCAAGAAGCAACATATCATAATAAGCACAATTCTTGTATAACTAACTCAATTTGAAGTTAAAAAATTTAAGTGATTCAAATATTGTCTACCATTCTGCTTCCTTTTCTTTCTTTTTGGAAACATAAAGCAGTTTACATATTTTTCATTATGTATAAACTTCTGATAATTAATTCAAAATAAATAGAAGCAAGCACTATTAATTAAAAGTCACGGTTTTTGCATTAAAATCCCAAAAACAAATGTAAAAAATCTTAGACATTATTCTGTTTTCCTTAATACTAAACAATCCACTAATCCTATGGGCAATAAATAAAAACACCAACAATAGAGAAGATATTTTTACCAAAAAAAAATATCTAAACATTAATGCTCTGTTTCTTTTTATCTTTAGAAAGAAACTAACCACACTTCCCATAATCAAGAAAATAAATTAAATTATCTCATCTTACCTCTTTAGCGGCCTGAAGTTGAGCCGGTGGCGTTTTCACGTGCTTTCTTTCCACAGTCATAGGGTCGAAAGATCCGCAAGATTAATCTTTGTTAAGAATTCTTTCTTTACTCTTCTTATTTCACCTTTTCTTCTCCTTCGAAACTTGCTAACAACTCTTTCTTCTCTTTAATATATACCCACTAGTTGAGCACATACTTTAAGTTAGTTGAAGAAACGTGAAGGGGACAGTACCTCGGGGAGAGCCTTTCCCCCTTAAGGGTGAAGTTCCAGGGTGAAGCCTCTTCTCAGATGCTATGCTCGCTGACTGTGCGCAATGACAGGTGGGATACCGGCGCCACCAACTTAAGGTTCGAACCAGTCGGTTAAAATAGGGTTTAACCAGCAATCGGGAGAAAGTGGATATTGCAAGACAAATTGATCATCCCCTATTCAGTTATTGACTGGACGGTGCGCTCTGGAAACGAGGAGAAAGCTCAATTTTCTCCTTTCCCAAACGAAAGCTCAGAATTTTTTTGTTTTGGTGGCATTTTGCACGCCATCTATAGCAAGGAAATGTAACTAATAATGAAAAGGTGCTTTCACCTATATCCTGAAATCGTGCTAATAATTTGGAATCGATTGTCATTTGTTCCTCCTTCCCTAAGGCGTTGAATTTAGAGCATATTCACTTTGATATAAATTTCGATCGAAGGAAAGCTGAATGTATTGCAACATAAACTGTTTGAAATTTCCCCATACGCTTTATTTTCTGTTATTTAAACCTCTTTTAGAGGTAACAAAAATATAGTGGTAATTTTTTTAATGCATCAGATAGCCTTAGAACTCAAAAACTAATACCTTCACAAGTGTAAAAGAATATAAAATTGTTTTAGAATTATTTTGGAATGCAAGAACTTAACATAAATTGATAATAACTTAGTTTCGAAACTAAAATTATAAAAGATAATTCACATTTTGCATTTATCTAGTTATGTTTTCTATTGTCTTTATCAACAACATCAAAGCATTTTTAAGTTACTATTTCCGTATAATAATTTCTTCATTCTTTTTTATTAATTTTTATAATTTCTCACATGCAACAGTTATTTTTTATATTTTACAACTTTTTTCTGATTTCTTTCTTTAACTGGAAATCTATATCAATCCTCTATTTAATTTCTATAAACTCATTTCTAAAACATAATATTTTAACACACAAAAAATACAAGCGTACAGTTTAATGCTTGCAATTTTCGGAAGATTATATTAAATACATACCTAAATGCTCAACCATCAAAGAACAGAGACAGCGAATTTTAAGCAGTCTTTAAATCACTTTTTCTTTCTTAAATGCTTTGATGATGGACATTTGTTATTATTACACTACAGGATAATTCGTATTTAAAATTGAATTCACAATCAGAAAGCATGGGACTCGGTATTTTAATTTGTCTATTGACTTTTATCGGAAAAAAATAATACTCTAATATAGCAACTGTGTCCACTTTGAAAAGTAGTTCAGAAATAAATTTTATTAAATATCTGCTTTCTACTGTAATTGACGTTAAAACAATTTTCAGAATAATCCCAATCTAACAGTACTAAGAGTTTAAATAGTTTAAACGTTATATAAATACATTAAATTGACATGAAAGTATTCTAAAAATAGCACAAATGTACAGAATTAAATTATATATATAAAAAAAACTTATATTGCCATAATAACTGTATACCCGTCATGCGTACGGGGTGATAAAAAAACAAACAATCAATAAATTAGTGATGAACAACACTGCAAAATCATGCACAAACCTGAAAAACAAAAATTATTTTTTGTCTTTATCGTTTATTTTACGTTGTTAGATTAAACGAAACACATATTTATTACACCAACCCATCGAGAGAAATTACCATTAGTAGTCCACCCCATGCTTGGGAGCTAAACACTGGGGGTTCCGCTTTCGGCTGACCACCTAACCGGAACATCTGCTCCTACACACCAGAACCCAAGCTCAAGAAAACTGAGATGAGCCTAGTAGGCCTTGGCCCTCTATGGACTGTCGCGCCACTGAGTTTAGTAGTCCACCCCCAAAGTAGTCCCCCTCTAAAAATAAGAATCGTCTCCAGCTTAATTTTTCATCAATGACAAATTCTAAACTAATGAGAAAATTCCATATTTCAAACATCTCTTCCAAATGATCTAATTAAAATTTTTGAAGGAATTTTAGGATCGGATTTAAAATCGTCTCCTTTACCCACTGCAGAAATTTCAAGATGTCAGCATAAATGGTTCTAGAGCTGTAAGAGAGACACACAAACTTTTCATTTTAGATAACTTTGAGGAAAAAGTTTTTTGTCCTTACAACTAGATTTTTGTCCATTTTTGAAAGATATAGTGATGAAGATTTCATCCAAAAATTTTCCATCAAAAGACCTTCATCAAAGGATTCTTAAGAACGGAAAGAGCAAGAAAACTTTAATCAAAGAGGTTTATTTAAGATTTTAACCCCATAATATTTTCAAGGATAGTTTAATAAACATTTTTTACTAACAAGCTACATTTTATTCAAAAATGATATGAAACTAGATATTTTTTGCTAACATCATAATAAACTGTTTAAAATTAAATATCCATTTATACATAAAGTTTTACAATATATCCGTACTTTTCAGAGAGATATGTGAGACATTAAATGATATTAGTTTTTATTATAAACTTCAGTTGTAATTATTATATGACAATATATAATACGACTTTTTTTTAAATTCGATTTCTCATTAACTATTTGACTGATTTTCGATTTTTGTACTGTGCAGTGCAAAATTACGTAATCTTAAATAATGTAAAAATGCAATCTTGGATTCAAAATTTTTTCGACTATTAATAAATAAAATATTGAAAAATAATAAATATTCATTAAAATTTATTTTTTTGCTTGGAATTATCTTTGGATGAGCGAATTTTATAATGATGTGCTAAAATTTGTCGATTTGTGAAAAACGGAAAAATTAAAATTAAGGAATCCAAATTTAGCATCGCTCTACTGACCGAACAATGGCGATCATGTTTCACAGATCGGGGCTATTCCCTATGTTTTCGGGGTCAGAATTCCAAATCAGTTTTAAAAAAAATTATGTTTATTCAGAGAAAGTATGTTTTAGTTTTTGATTTTGTAGCTTAACATAATTAGCATATTTGAGGTTACCCCCCCGAACCATTAGGATTGAGTTATAGAACGTAAAGATCCTATCATTAGATCAAAAGTTATTCAGGATGGTGCATTTCTTCGGCGCACTGTATGAATATAATGATTATTGTTATATCAAAATTGTTACTTTATTATTAATGACTATTATATTATAGCAGTTTTAAGTTATGCATGATGTGAAACAGTTAAAAACACGTTAGGTTAAAAATTCATTTACTTACTCTTTGAATCAGAAAGTATTGATCTTTATGGTTAAAGTTTCTTCTTTTTGAAAACAAAATACAGACATCATTCTTTTTCAAAGAAAAAAAAGATGGGATTATTTTGAAATATGCTGTTTTAGGTTACAAATTGAAAATTTCCTAAGCAGATATTCTTCGACAATAGCAATAAGAAGTAGAAGAATGACATTTGACCGCCATATTTCGAAAAGCATTTGCGGTATTATTACTGAAATTGAAAGGGTTTGACAAAAAGGTTTTAAAAAAAATAATGAGGGACGCTTAAAAAAATGTTTTATAATGTTTCAAAAAAATTGTTTGTGTAAAAAACTTATAGTTCATATTACTGCTGTTGAATTGTGAAATATAATCCTGTAAAGTCTTATAGAATTGCGACTTTACAATATATATTTGTTGCTTATAGGAAAAGAACAGACTTAGATTCAAAAATATATTGAAAACTTTATATGCAAAATTAAAAACGTTATTGAGAACGATTTAAATAATTTTACCATGAAATAATACTAATACTCTGGTAAGTCTTCTCGTTGGTTGTGATGTGGAAGTTTGAACAGAGGGATACCAGCTCAGGTGCTGTCCGTGTCATCTGTCAAAAGACTAAAATCCGTGGAATTCCTACCATGGCTATTAAAAGATAAAGCCCAAAAAATTGGGCTAGGTGCTTGGCCATGGTTTGGTGACGTGTGACTCGTAATCTTTTATTATAAATAAAGGTTATAAAATTTACTTTGTAAAGTTGTTTCTCAAGTCTTATTTGTCTGTGTAAAATATTTAAAACGTTATTATAAGTTTTTTTTCACTTTGTAAGCAAATAGTAATCGGTTTTTGTAATTCCCGTTTCGTAAATTATGTTTGGAATTGAAAGAAAATAGTTAGCAGATATTTTTAGAAAGTCATGAATTGCTACACATTTTTAAAACATACTTTAATTTATTTACAAATAATTAAAATCGAGAATGAAGTCTCTAATAGGAATAAGCTTAGAATATTCAACTAAAACATATGCAGAACACTGTGATAACATAACACATTTCAATTTTTCAAATGACATATTAATATTATTTAGAATATATATATATATATATATATATATATAATTANTAAAATATAATATTTTAATACACAAAAAATATAAGCATACAGTTTAATGCTTGCAATTTTCGGAAGATTATATTAAATACATACCTAAATGCTCAACCATCAAAGAACAGAGACAGCGAATTTTAAGCAGTCTTTAAATCACTTTTTCTTTCTTAAATGCTTTGATGATGGACATTTGTTATTATTACACTACAGGATAATTCGTATTTAAAATTGAATTCACAATCAGAAAGCATGGGACTCGGTATTTTAATTTGTCTATTGACTTTTATCGGAAAAAAATAATACTCTAATATAGCAACTGTGTCCACTTTGAAAAGTAGTTCAGAAATAAATTTTATTAAATATCTGCTTTCTACTGTAATTGACGTTAAAACAATTTTTAGAATAATCCCAATCTAACAGTACTAAGAGTTTAAATAGTTTAAACGTTATATAAATACATTAAATTGACACGAAAGTATTTTAAAAATAGCACAAATGTACAGAATTAAATTATATATATAAAAAAACTTATATTGTCATAATAACTGTATACCCGTCTTGCGTACGGGGTGATAAAAAAAAACAATCAAAAAATTAGTGATAAACAACACTGCAAAATCATGCACAAACCTGAAAAACAAAAATTATTTTTTGTCTTTATCGTTTATTTTACGTTGTTAGATTAAACGAAACACATATTTATTACACCAACCCATCGAGAGAAATTACCATTAGTAGTCCACCCCATGCTTGGGAGCTAAACACTGGGGGTTCCGCTTTCGGCTGACCACCTAACCGGAACATCTGCTCCTACACACCAGAACCCAAGCTCAAGAAAACTGAGATGAGCCTAGTAGGCCTTGGCCCTCTATGGACTGTCGCGCCACTGAGTTTAGTAGTCCACCCCCAAAGTAGTCCCCCTCTAAAAATAAGAATCGTCTCCAGCTTAATTTTTCATCAATGACAAATT